AAAAAAAAAAAAAAAACAAAAAAAAAACAAAAAAAAAAAACAAAACAGGAAAAACAAAATACTTACAGTACTAAACAAATTATGAAGTAAAAAAAAAAATGAAAACCAAGTTCACAACTACCACGAAGTTAGTGAGATTCAAAATATTGCTGCAATGGTAATAGCGAGGTAGGTCTGCTTGGAGACTCATAACCATTGCGCTATATATGAGCCGACCTTGTACAGACCAGTGCATTTTCCGTTCATTGCGATTCAGTAACTGAAACAAAAACTGTTCATGCATATCACGGTAGTTTTGAGTTTAACCTAGCTGCAACTGATTTAAGCGCTTTGGAAAACGCAAATTGCGTTTATATAATTAATCAACTGTCTAAAAAATCTTTGAATTGTCCTCATATCCACACCCTACTGCAGATCGTCACCAAAATTTGATCATTTCTTAATTTGACCATGAAAAACTATTCTGCAAAGTTTCATTTTCATCCATTTATAACTGGGACGTAAGCATTTTAAATGACACTCAAATTTACACCCTAACCTGAATAGTCCAAAAACACATAAAATCTTCCTTGTAACTTGGTTAATATTCTAGAAGTTTCATTCGGAGCAGTTGACAAGTTTTGTAATACCGTATCTGGTCGGGGCGTTTCTGTGAATGATCCTCATATTCACACCCTACTCCGGATTTTACAAAAAATTAAATCATTTCTTTACTATAGACCTTGACTAACTATTATTGAAAGTTTCATTTAGACCCATTGAAAACCCTTTTTTCGATATTTCGGTCTGGGACGTAAGAAATGTAAACGACCCTCACATTTACACTCTCAACTGGATCGTCCCCAGCACATAACAATTTCTTCCTTGTAACTTGGTTGAACTTCCCGAATGTTCCATTCAGATCAGTTGATCCGTTTTCAAAATATCTGGTCTAGGACGTTTTCCTTTGAAATGGTCCTCAGGTCCACAGCAGACTAATCTGGATTGTCACAAAAATTTAATCATTTTTAACTAGACCTTGACAAACTGTTAAACAGAGTTTAAATTATACCCATTGATTTTAAAAAAGAGATATTTAGGTCTGGGACCTCAAAAAATTAAATGACCCTCAAATTTACACCCTTAACTGGATCGTCCCCAACATATTATAATTTCTTCCTTGTAACTTGGTTACACTTTCCCGAAAGTTCCATTCAGGTCAATTGACCAGTTTTTGAAATATCTGGTGTAGACTGTTTGCCCTTTAATCACTTTAATTGGTCCTCACATGAACACCCTCACCCTAGATTGACACCAAATATTAAGAACATCCTTGATATATGGTATATGCTTCGGCAAAGCATAGAAAAGTTCTAAGCATGAGAAGTGACCAAGGTGCCGGCCAGAAAAACCTAGTGCAAAAGGAGGGGAAAAGTATGCAAGAAAAAAAAAATCTGAACCAAAACAATTGCTTTTCCAGCTACTGCTGGGAAAATTAACTTATGCTTACAATAAACTTACTACACACTTACAGTTACACGTATAGAGCATGGACACTAAACGCGGGCACCCGCTGCGCCCGATGGCCTTCGTGACGCACCCAATTATTCTACGAGAGAATTAGGCATAGAATAGAATTCACTGCTTTACCGGGGGAAACAACTATATTGTATTAGTTTTACTATACTTAATAACAGCACATATAAAAAGAAAACTGTCCGTATACATTAGCCATTTCGATATGTGAGGGTAAAAGTAGGCAGTTCACGTACGGTTAACACGTAGATGGGGTGCGGTAGTCGTTCTCCGTAGGCGTAGACTGGACACGCGAGCGGGTAAGTAGTGGAAACTAATGAAATGTTATTACCTAATTAATATTTATGAGGTGTAATAAAAAAATATTACAACTGAACGGTAATAAATTGTCAGAGTTAAAAGTTCATATCATGATTAAAAAAAGTCCGAACACCAGACAACAATAACCGGTTTATGTATTCTGATAGAGAGAATGAATCTATCCAATGGCGGATATAGGAAGTGTAAACTACCTAGTTCATTTCAAGCATTACTTAAAAAAGCTAAGACAGGTAATTTAGATCGATATTGAGGACATGTAGTCTTGTTACCTTGTCTAGTTTGTGATAAACGTTTTGAGTTCTTCCGGCGGATACTCCTAGCTCAGGCTTTTGAGATCATCGAAAGCCTAGCTATCCATAAGCTGTACTATAGACAGTTGTAAAAATTACCTTGATTTACTGTGGACAATATGTCTACGTCTTACAAATTTAAGTCAGACTCAACTGAAGCTGTGTCTGAAATGGTCTACTTTTCCCCTAATAGGTACCTCATATTAAGGTTCTAGGTTAAAACCCTCTGTACGTCACACTTGTAATGAACTTCTGTTCCTAAAGCTTATTTTTTATTATTATTATACTTAGGCCTATTACTTACTTAGGTGTGTGCTCGGACTTACTCGTTCTAGTCTATTTGACATCACTGTCTTTAGCTCAGAATTTCTATACTGTGGGTGTACTGTAACTGTTGCAGGTGATTACACGCTTATGGCCATACATCACAGTATATGATGACCTTGCCACGGTATAAATTTGGTAGGCCTATAGTATATATATATACAGCACATCTAGATGTGTATAAGAGACAGTATATATATAGGCCTATATATATATATATATTTTTTTTTTTTGGCTGTTTACATAGGTTTACTTTTTAGCTTTTGCTTATCAAATTTGTATTTCTACGGCTGTATTTATTCAGCCAATGTTGTGTTCTCAGTAATTTGCCTTTTAATCTATATATAGGCCTACAGTAGTTATAGCGTACTACAGTGTTACTTCACGATACCAAGTGATACTACTCCGTTGCTATCGTTGCAAAATGCGTTCAACCCGACGCCATTTTCGCCACTAACAAACCATTGATCCCAATTTCGCATAATGGCTAAACGGTCAAAGATCGCACTCTTCTGTGCACAATTTTCAGAAAGCTATATCATTTCAGAAAGCTATAATCAAAATCAGTTCCTGACTAAATAGTACATTTTCTTTTATAGCTCATATTCGAACTGATTTATTGTTTACGTGACATCCAATATTATATATTCTAGAAAAAGACGATAGATGTCCACACACTTGTTGGATTGTTAATTGTATGTTATTTAAGGTCTAATTCTAAAACGTATTAATGAATTAACAAGAGAGAAGAAATATTTTAGTATATTACAAAGAATGGCATACATTTTCGTTGTCCCATGCTTTAGAAGTGTGAGGTCAAAAATAAATAGGTCAATAGATTGGAAACGCATGTGATTAAAAGTAAATTTCTTATTTCTGCGGCTCTAGCTAGAATGAGATACACAGAACCGTGTATCGGGTTCGATTTTACGAATAACCACATTACCATTTCCACAATATAGTGACGGTAAAATTATTTAAATAGTTGTAGATAGCCCTGTCTGGTATGTGATGGACAATTATGTGTTCTCGTGTGATGGTGTAAGATCAACACGTACCGTGGATAACTGAAGATTAACAGTTCCCTGAGACTTCACGTTGCATTCCCAACGCTCAATTCTGCAGTTACCAGCGTTATTCTCATTACTAAATTTTTAATTCACTGCCTAAGCCTTCGAATGAATTTACAATACAGAGCATTAGTTACTTCCTGTAACCGCGAGATATTCCACTAGGTATACTTGAAAACAAGTCATAATGTTCCATCATTATTTTTTATAAATCCAGTGGGTGTTGCTTGATACAGTTTTACAAGTAGGGCCTTATTCTTAAATGGATAATACTGATTTATGTTATCCATAATCATACAAAAACTAGTGCTCTTACATAATATATATAATATTATATATATATATAATATTATATATATAATATTATATATAATATGATATATAATATGATATATATTAAATATATATATTATATATATATCAATTTAGGTAAATAGCACCCGGAAAATGACACTCTAGTGAAATTCGTCATCATCACATCACCGTTGTAGTCAAAATGAAGCACCAACAAATCTCTGATGATCTTCTATCAGCGATTTCTGCAATCAGAGATCTAAATAACATGTGTGATATACCACAGTTGGCGCGGACGCAGCATTTGGCGGTAGGGGGTGCGTGAATTGGGAAAATTTTGAGAATATGGACACCTAGGTGCCGGAAAGTGCACTCTCATACTTTAAAAATACCGGTATTATGTTCATAATGATAAACAATACCATACAACAATTATTTTCTTTATTACAATTTAGGGGGTGCATTCGCCCTATCATAGAAAATAAAAGTTAAAAACATGGTCTGCTGTGTATTTACTTCACTTATGACACTCTAACGTAGTAAAATTCGTCATCATCACAATCATATTATAGTCAAAATGAAGTACCAACTAATTTCTCATGATCTTTTATCAGCGACTTTCGGAAACCATAGAGATCTAATTAATACGTGTGATGTACCATAGAAAATAACACTTAGAAACATTGACTTTGATGTATTTACCTTACTTTAACTACTTCACAGACGTGAGTCCACACCAATCTCAGCCCCACCATGATTGTACAGCGACTTCCACAATAAAATCGTCTCAAGGCGCTGACAGTATACAGACCCGAAGCAGCGCTTTTTCGTTAAAACCTGGGTCATTTATGTAGTACATTTCAACAATTTTTCTTATGAAATTACATTGCAATCGAAACGTGGGAAACCACCCTTGACCTTTAAAATACATGAGGGGGGGGGGCAGGGGCGTGTCCTCCGTCCCCACATAATCTGCGCCCGTGGACGACGAGAGCTGCAACAAGTTACCGGGTAGCAAGACACGAAGGTGGGGGG